GACTGAGCGGCAGCATTGTGCTGTGCAGATTAATGGAAATGGAATCAATGTGTAGAATTCTACATATCACAAAATATAATATTTATTGCCGCTCCTTTGTGGTTGAAGCACAGTATCTGTAGTTAATTGATTATATTAATTACCAATAAACTGCTGCTGTGTGAAGCAACTAGTTGGTGTACAGCCGCATGTCACCGGCAGCTGTAAGAAACCAGGACATGTTGCTCAGCTTGCAAAAATTCCAAGCGCCGAACATATCAGTTTTTGGATAACGGATACTTTTTCATCTTTTAGTGATTGAGACTGGGGGGTATTTCGCTCTGGCTCTGCGTAAACTGTTGCATTTCATGGACCGTAGAATTCGAGCCTTAACTAGAGAAGCGCGTTCTACTGCTTTTGATTTCGGTTGTTTTTGATTGATTAAATATTGACTTTCTGGTAGTGTACCGGCGCATGCAATCATTATCTTGGCGGCTATTACCCATTAAAATATTACTAATATCTGTTCGTAAATATGCAAACACCTTATGTTTAAAGACAGTTTCCATCCCAGTGGATACATGCGTCACGGTAAATGTACAACTGAAATGCTTGTGCCGTACAGTATATACACGGTGTTGTTTTTTCTATGTACATCTATTACAGATTTTCATAGGTATAAGTATAACTTATCTGTAGTCTCAATCAGAAAAATAAGCTGCTTCTGCCTAAAAGTTTGATGTCTGAACAGACAGGCCTAGGCAGCCTTGTCGCTACTGGACGCTATCTGATTGCAATCAAACAGCTTCCTGTGTGCGTCTCTGACCATCTGAGTAAACAGTACAGTACTCGTACAATATATCTTTCTTTGTGAGTAGTGGTACAGTATACAGTATTACAGTATACAGTATAAGTACAGTATATACAGTACATGATGGCTACTCTGCCTGGGCGTTGTCATGAGGTTCGGGTCCGGTTCTGTGCGGCGTCCGGGGCTGCGGTACGCCGTGGTGCTGGGTCCGGTGTGGTCCAGTGCTGTGAAGGTAAAAGTATTGTTTTTTTCTAGCCGTTTCATGGTGTCGACGTGTGGAATTCCACATTTCACATTGAAAAAAGGTTAAATACCGCTTTTTTTAGTTGAAGCATGTGTCTGTATGTCATTATAATCGTATTGATTTTTATTATGTGTTTTTAAATATACAAAAAACATATGCTTTAAGACACTTACGCGCAGCTATCTTCGGTGGATGTCAGCACGGTACGACTACCAAGTTTGCTCCGACCAGTGTAAATCTTTCATTGTTTGCAGCATGTACATCTAGTATTGCCTTCCTGTTTTTACAAGTAAACTTATCTGTAGTTTTAATCATAAAAATAAGTTGCTTCTGACCCAAAGTTCGATGACTGAATAGACAAAATGCATGCTCGCAGCCGGATGCTAACTGCTTTCAATCAGAAAGCAGGCGGTTGCTGCGTTCTGTCAATATGAGTGCAAAGTACAGTACTCGTACAATTTATTTTGTCTGCGGGTAGTGACAGTACAATACATACAATACCTATACGGTACCGCGCAGTGTATCGTTGTGCCGAAGCCGGTATGGTGCGGTGTTGTGTGGGGTCCGGTGTGGTGCGGTACATTATACACGGTAATTGTAGAGATCTATGTATATATCTGTTCCTTGGTGCAGTGGAGTTGTAACAAGTACTATTCATTGTAGGTAACCACATCACTTCACCGGTCTGAACCACTTCGGTACCTGAGCAGCAGCCTGTGTAGTTGCGCTTTACGTGCTATTTCGGGAAGGAATATATGCGTGGAATTTGACATATTTCATAAGAAAATATGATGTTCCTCTATTTCGTGGTTGGAGCTTGGTTTTGTACGTCATTATTTTATAATACATACTAATAATATCCGTTAATCAATATGTGAACAACGTATGCTTCAAGACGATGGCGCGCGGCTGTTCCCGGTGGATGTGCAACTACGTCACGCATGTACGTTTATTTTGTTTGTGCCGACCAGTATGTACTTCTGGTATTCAATGCTCATAGGCACAAGTAAACTTATCTATAAAGTTAATCACCTCATAAGTTAATTTTATTCCAACATTTGATGACTGTACAGACAGGCTGCACGCTCACAGGTTATGACAGATGCTGACTCATTTTGTCACACCTAGTATTGAATTTCGTTAGGTACAAGTAAACTTATCTGTAGTTTTAATCAAAAAAATAAGTTACTTCTGCCCCAAAGTTCGATGACTGAATAGACAAGATGCATGCTTGCAGCCGAATGCTATCTAATTTTAATCAGAAAGCAGGCTGCTGCCGGGTCCTGACCATACGAGTGCAAAGTATAGAACTCGTACATTTGTTTGTGCGTAGTAGCAGTAAAATACATACAGTACATGGCTGGTTTGTCTACCCTATCTGAACGTTGGTGGGCGGTGCTTGGAGCCGGTGCGGTGCGGTGCTTGGAGCCGGTGCGGTGCGGTGCAGTCTCTAAGTGCAAGAATTGTTTTCTTTTGGCACTTTCAGAGAAAAGTCACATCACCACGCGCTGCCGGATTCTTTCTGATTTTATTCAGAAAGCATGCTGTTTACGCGCTCTATCTATACGAGTGCAAGGTACAGTACTCGTACAGTTTATATTGTTTCTTAGTAGTGGCAGTATAATACATTAAAATGAGCAACTGGGCGCCGGAAGATCCTTTCGATGACCATCAGAAATTTAACCGAAATCGTATTTCTTTCAAAGACTGTACTGATACTCCTGCGTATGTTTATGCAGCCTGAACTGTTTTTGTAATAATTGTTACTGAAGACGAAATAAAAGAGGGTGGGAAAAAAATGAAACAAAAGAAAGGGGGGAAAGCCGATGATTTGAATTTCCCCAGATCTAAAGAATTTAAATGGAACGATCCAAAACAGTATTCCCGTTGCGCTGGAGTAAAAGTTAATTCCGAAAGGTCAAAATCCATTCTGAAAGCCCAGTGCCGAAACACTAACTGTGGAGAATTCGTAGTAACTGAAGAAAACGTGGTCATCGCCAGTGTGGATCAACCATTGTCAAATCAGAGAGAATAAGACAGAATGTGGGTCATCGCCAGTTTGGATTAGTCATTGTCAAATGAGAGAACGAGACAGAATGTGGGTCAGCGCCAGTTTGGATTAGCTAAGGAACAAAGAATCTAGGTCAGGTCCAGTTTGGATTAGCTAAGGAACAAAGAATCTAGGTCAGCGCCAGTTTGGATTACTCATTGTCAAATCAGAGAGAATAAGACAGAATGCGGGTCAGCGCCAGTTTGGATTAGCTAAGGAACAAAGAATCTAGGTCAGGTCCAGTTTGGATTAGCTAAGGAACAAAGAATCTAGGTCAGCGCCAGTTTGGATTGCTCATTGTCAAATCAGAGAGAATAAGACAGAATGCGGGTCAGCGCCAGTTTGGATTAGGTAAGGAACAAAGAATCTAGGTCAGCGCCAGTTTGATTTCTGAAAACGACGTCTATCTTAGCTGGTCTATCTTAGCTGTCTGGAATGGGAATTCATTCGCAATTCTGAACGCCATGGATCAGTACAAAGGTTGTTTATTAGGCGCTCTGATCGGAGAATGCATCGGAACACCCTTGAGACGCCCTACCTCCTGCCACATGAACTTGGCGGGAGTGCGGAGCAAGGTCTCGACTTACTGGGAGAAATTCTTAATAACGCACGCTTACGCCAAGTCTCTACTGGATACCGGCTTCTTTTCTTTGGAGAATGCCGCAAGGCAATGTAGCCAAATTTTTTACCACAACTACACTAAACGCCGAGCTTTTGGTGAACTGACCACCATTATTGCCAGTTGGAAACATTCTCCCCCAAAAGACTGGACCGCTGCGGCTACGACAGTCCGTAACCGAGGCACAGAGTGTAACGCTGCCACTTGGATAACAGCGTTTCCCTTGTACTTTTACAATCGTACGGAGCAGATGAGTTTCTCTGTAGACCGTGTAGCCCGACTCACCCACTCTTCCAATGATGCCGCCGCTGGGGCACAGTTGCAGGCCTACGCCATCAGTCTGGTTCTAAAGAATAAAAAGATGAAGGAGCTTGAGTTTCTCTCCGCACTTGTTGAATACAGCAATAAATCCCTCCCCGATTCTGTACGTCAGAAATTTTATGCACGTATGATGATGGTGCTGGACTACGCGCAACGCGCTGAACCGAAAGAAAAATTGTTCAAAGCCATTGGCAATGGCACCAGCCCATTGGACGCAGTTCCCGTTGCCATTTACTGTGCTGCTATTGGTCGACGCAGCGATTGCCCTTTTGAAGCCACCCTTCATGCGGCAATGTTAACCGGAGGATGCACCGATGCCATTGGGACCATGGCTTGTGCCATTGCAGGAGCCTGGTCCGGATTCTCAGGTATACCTGACGAAATGGTGGGCATCTGGGACGGCCAGGAGCAGGTGTATACCTTAGCCGAAGAACTGTACAAGTACGTTTCCACACTGCACGACCCCAACGGACCACTCAGTACTTTTGAAAATTGGCCACACCTCCTGCCTTCTGCCGGCGCCATGGCGAGGATCGGACTGTACTACACCGGATCTGATGATACAGTTAAATGTCATTTCTGTCGGTTTACAATGAGCAACTGGACACCAGGAGATCCATACAATGACCATCAGAAATTTAACCGAAATTGTATTTTTGTCAAAGATTGTACTGCTACTCCTGCGTATGTTCATGCGGTCTGATTTATTTTACTTTGTTCGTTGTTATTCGGTGAAAACAAAATAAAAGAGGGTGGGGAAAAATAAACAAAAGAAAGGGGGTAAAGTACGGTTCGGCCGGTCTTGGTTCGGTCCTGAACGGTTCGGCTCGGTTCTGACCGGTTTGAATATGGGCGGTTCGGTTCTGAACAGTTCGGTTCCGACCAATCAGAGAAGGGGGTGGAGTCTGACCAATCAGGAAGGGGCGTGTCTGACCAATCAAATTGTCAGTCAGATCAGCGCTAAAATGTGCGCCAAACGCAGTTAGATCAGCGTGTACACTACTCGTGTGTGCCCGAATAGAGACTAATAACACAGCAATCAACCATGAAACAGACTTTCTCGGCACTCATGCCAATGGAAATAGTTCTTTTATAATAAATTCGATAGTCAGTCTTAATTAGCGCACAATTTAACCGCGAAGATACCAGTCTGTTGTTCGTCCTGCTTTTGGCTTTTTTCCTGTATCGGGATTGCGGTGCATTTCGCCCTAATCTCTCTGGACATTTCCCGAGAGAAAGTTCATCCAGTTGGCGGAATGACTGAAACCTGGAAGGTGACGGAAGCCGGTGCAAAATTGGAATAGAGGGCAATGCTCTAGAAAAAGCAAAACACATAAAGAATTCCTGCCAGTTTTAGCACATGATTTTTGCCTTTGGGCTGAGATGATCGTTCTACTCACCATACTGCTGGCCGCTACGGAAATGGAATTAGTAAAACCCGTTGTACCAATGCAGTAAGCGACTTTTTCGATTATCAGGGTTGTTACGGCGCAACTCTATAACAAGAAACCTTTATACTGCTCAGTTGCATCGTTGGCGTGTAATTTTATGGAACTGAACCTGATGCCAATTACATCAACCAACCCGCTGACGGGCCGAGGAATAACTTACTACTGTACCAGCCGGGTGTCTCGCACATTAATCTCGAATGTCTTCCAGTCTCAGAGTTCTGGGTATAACCAATCAACTCTGGGTATGTAGCACCTCAAACAAAAATATGCGGAATATGGTCTTTACTACCGATAATAAAGCTGCTATTTTTGTGATGGTTACAGCTAGATAAGTTTCATCTGGAGCCGTTTTAAACGCTATCGGTGACTAAACAGTAAACACACGATCTCTGTATGAAACCCGCATAATTATGTATTGTCTGGCTCTGGGCCAGTAGTGGCTAGTGACGCATAATCGAGGTTGGCTAGTGGCTGGTGACGCATAATAAAGCAGTTTCACCATTGACGACGTGACTACCGCCCTCCTCGTAACTTCTACCGTAGGGTGATATTTTAATTATAAAAATATAAAAATCACTCAGAAGATGAAAACGAGTAGGACGACATAGTCAGCCAGACTGAAAGACATATTTGGCTGACTGCATCCACCATTCTGCTGGAGATGTGCACGCTTGCATTGATATAATTTTACAATGGGCCTTAATGCACTCAAGGGCGTTGTTGTCAGATCAATCGACGCCGACGGGTTGATTTGGCAGAAACGAGGACGCGATTTCATTGAACATCCACCATTCACCCATCTAGGGTTGAAATCACAATTTAAAACATTTCACATTTCAAGCTTCGAATTGAATCATTTCAAATTCAAACGAGGGCCAGTTTGAAATGTGATGTGAAATGATTTGAAATGTGAAAAGTTGAAATTATAAACTTGAAATGCGTTTGAAACGATCTGAAATGGAAAACAATTTCTTTAAATTAATATTTAATTAGTTTTGAGTGTAGGAAATCATGAAATCTGCTTAAAAGTTCTTACAATAAGTTGAAAAAATAAGGTAAAATTTTTCGAAATAACCAAACAAAAAATTAAGTAAACAACTCATTTTTAAATTTTAAATTCCATTTCATTTCAAATCAGTTAATTTTGAATCATATCAAAAACGGCGAAAAGTTATTGAATTTCAACCTTACACCCGTCCACCTTTTGCCGGTTACACACGCCGAGAGAGAAGTGTACGCGTCTAAGGAGACAACGAGCTGGTGTTCTCTCTCACTGAACGGTCAACCGAGGATACGGTGCGACGGTCTAATGGTGTTCGGTTCAGATCACCAACTCAGCAAAGCAGCTGTCTGTAGAAATCCGTTGGTAAGTCAAACATACGATACATCTTTACCGTGACAACACGTGCATTACGAGCACCTTTAGCTTACCAGCAGGGTAACCGTCACAGGATTTATCTGGAAACAGTAAGCAACAATTATTAAATAATTATTGCTTTATTTTGAAATACATCAAAGTTTTTGGTTTCCTCACCTGCAGTGTGCTACCAGGAGAGCCAATCAACAGGAACGTACACACAGAAACGCCACTCCCATCGGCCATGATCGTTATAGTCTTCACATCTGTTATGAAGAAACAGTCTCCACAAGCTGCAACAGCACTGTATCGGTTAAGCTTATCAGAAGGAAAGATTACGGAATGATTAGCATGCGATCTGTAACGAGCTACTTGAGCAACAAGAGATGCCTACGGAGGTGGACCATATTAGCATATTAGACCAGAACTTACCAACTGTATTTATACCGTCGTAGGTGGCTCCTGCCGCCGAGCAAGCCGGGAATGCTGGTGCTGTTGTAGTCGTTGTTGGTTTCGTCGTGGTGGTCATCGTAGTTGCTTTAATAAAAACCCGGGTCAAAGTCAGGTACCAAATAAATTTGCAGTAGTGGGCTCTGATACTGCCGAAAGCTAATACGCGTAATGTCTGACAACGGTAGTGAACTTACTGGTCGTAGTGGCGGTTGTTGGGCACGTTGCCGTCGTGGTGGTTGGACAAGTTGGGCACGTCACAGTTGGACAAGCTGGACAAACTGGACAGGTGGGGTAGGTAAAAGGAGCTGTGAAGAAATACATTATTTCCCCAGTAACCGTGCCCATTATTAAACTGCTATGTTGCAAACACAATTTCATTCGTATTAACGTTTTTCGGATTCCTGCAATTGCGTTGTAGATTATAGACCACATTTTACGGCACGCGTCAGCTTAAGCTAGAAATTTAATGGGATAATAAAAAGTTTTAGTACTTCGAAGTATGTTAGCAATAATAAGATTATCGGACAACAGCGCCAGTGCTAAATATTACCAGCGACCCGAATTACCAGACAGCTTCCGGTGATTATTGGATTCAGTGACTGCTAACTCGCAAGCAGTGTATTAACTCGTAGCTCGTACCTCGCACCAAGCGGCTGACCGATGATTTACTATTGACTGGTGCCATGCAATGTAACCGGCGATTAGCTGACACCCTTTTGCTCACCGGCAATGTACTAAAACTTTTTTTTGCTCACCGGCAATGTACTAAAAATCAATTTAAAATCTTGAAATATTTTAATTTAAAATTTTTTAAATCAGTTTAAGATATTCTAGTTGATTTAAACGTTTCAATATTTTACAAACAAATTAAATAATTTAACAAATTATTTATTTAAAAAATCATTAATTAATTAAATAATTCAATATACAAACAAGCAACCAAAGAAATTTAATTTTACCTGCATTTTGCATTTTACTTCACTAAAACAACTGGAACACTGCTCACGGATGTTCCATTTTATAAGAACAAACAGAAACAGTTTAACTTACTGGTGGTTGGGTAACGGATGCAGTGCTTCCCAGCGGCATCCTGGTAACCAAGAGCGGAATCACAAACACACTTGTGATCTGCATTGCAGATTGAAGTCTGGTCAGCGCAGCGCTGTCCAATCCCCGCGCAGGGGCAGTGCAGAGCAGCTGCGGATGTCAGACCCGCACACGACATTTCGAAAGCCACGTCAGCCGGGCTCCCATTATCGGCATTTTTCCGGGACAGCGCCGGTTCTTGCACTTGGTCGTGAATAACGCTCACCTGGGTGGTGGGCAGCACCGATGGAAGGCTATTACGGTCGAGCCAGGTATATCTTCCTAGCGGTGCAACAAGTTGAGACAGCGTTGCCGGGACGCACAAATACATTACAACCAGAACAAGGGAGAGATATCTAAAAGCCTGTTTCGGGAAGCTCAAGTTTGAGGTCAGGGCTGCGACGGAAGAGCGTGATTAAGTCAATTCCAGAGCAAGTTTTCTTGTATCGGTTTCAACTTGAAAGTTCTAACTACGAGTACAGATTTACCGCAGATTGCTTTGCGTATAATATATATATGGGCACCGGTGATCGCTGAAGTGGCTTGACCTGCGGCTGCTTTTGTCTGAGTACAGATGATTGCTGACAGCTCTAAAACGTGATCTGGCTACCTGAAAATGGACTTTTTTGATTAATGAGTTCAAGCCATAAAACTAGCGAGAAATATTGAAATATTTTGCATCGGTACAACAGAGAAATTAAAAAACTTTTCCCCCTTTTTTATTTCACTATGTGTGTACCTTTGTGTCAGTATAGCAAAAGATTAGCGCTTTTTCATTTTTTCGTGGCTTTTCTCCAGTGTCATGTAACTCATACTTCCTCACCAACCATTACCATCCAGCCTCCAGGCAGACAGAACGATGTTGACAGAAAGACAAAGTCGTTAAAGAAAGATAATAATTCTACAATACAGAAAATTTTGTCAGGTTGTTTCGAATCAACGACCGGTGATTTATTCGTGCCGTACTTCGCATGTGGCTAGCTGCATGCGCAGATCCAAAATAAAATATCATCAGCAACATACGAAGCCATTTAGAATACTTTTACATACATTTAAAATAATAATAACCAGCCGAAATTATATGTCATGAAAGAACTATATACTAAGCGAAGAGACAATAATTCACTTTTGCAGCGCAAACTGGATTTTAACGCAGAATGTGGATTACTGCGCATCGTGGTAAACACATTCTGGTCGGCTAACCACGAAAATAATTTACGATACATGCTGTACAATCACAGAAAGGCATACACGTTACAGATTTTTTATAGGTATCGGTTGTTTGCTGGAAACTTAAACAACGGCTGCGGGCTGTAAAGCGCTGCAGTCGCTGATTTGCTTTAAAGAAAGCCGCTCGTACCAATTTAACAGCACGTGATTCGCTAGCGTAACTCGGGGGTATAGAATTAATACTGTCGATAAAATTACGAGCTTCATGAATAACAATTAATTCACCGTGCGCAACGTGCATACGTACTTCCAGGAACTTACTATAGGTAGAGGACTGGGAAGCGACTCTGCAACGGTGGACTACGTCATCACTGTCGCATACAGAATGCACTGGTGTGCTGTCTTACCATAGGCCCACAGATTTATTGTCCCTTTTTAAAGATATTCTCAGTTCCTTTCTCCTCTAAAGCTTTCCGATATTTTAACAGATCATATTGAATTTATAAACCCAAACATGAGGGGCTAGAAATAGAAGAGAAAAGAAATATGCTGAGAAAACTGACAAAAACCGTAAAAAACGCGCATCTGTCACCATGGCAGCCGCCCTCCCGTGTATGCGAGAGTGATGACGTCAAACGGTAGGTTACCAGTCCTGGTTACCAGTCCTCCTCACACTATAGTAAGTACTTGGTGCTTCCTAAAGTAAATATTTGTTTGTCTTACTAGTTCTGTTATTATTATTATTTCTGAAAGGAAAAGAAAAGCTTCTTCTAGTGCAACGAACTTTGATTCTTGACTGGCATGATCCATTTAAACCTGAAGGCTGTTTTGGGAAGCCATTTGCGCCACCGAGTCGGTGCTGTCAATGCGCCTACCGTTAAAAAGCAGTCGATAATTATTTCTTCGACTTTTTATCTTTTCCGTTGATTTTTGATCATGATTTCCGACAACTGTAGCCCATCAATCAAAATAGTTACTAATGGAACTCCCATAAATTCTCGATATTGTGACTAACGCGTTTACTGCCGGCTCGAAATTTGGCCAATAACTGCTGTAGGTTATAAAGCGCTGGAGTCAGCAGTACTTGTATAAAGACGTTTGCTTCTAACAGACACCAGTACAATATACAACTCTAAAGACCACAAAAGCAGGGATTTGTATTCGCGCTTAAACAGTAGTTTTTAGATTCGAGGATTGTGCTGGTGAATGTCGCCTTAGCATGACCCGTTTAGATCTCCCCCATTTTCCCTCTTTTGTGCTAGGACGATATCGGCTGTCGGCGTTTGGTGGGCATCACCGCACTGATCTGGCGTTTGTGTGCAGTGAAAACTGACGTCTGGTTAGCGCAGCGCTGCACTAAATTCTGGCCAGCGTTCACTCTGAATGCGCCGGCGAACATATATCCACTGGATCGCGCTGGACAGGTTACGGCTTACGCCGAGGTTAGTTTCGAAAGAATAAAAAGGTTTCCCCAATCGACTGTTAATTCATTAAAAATGTTCTCATATCCAAGAAACGTCGTATAGCTACTATGTACATGTAAATCGATCCGGAATCCAGATAGAACAGATACCGGGTGCCGATCGAACTGTGTACTGTAGCTGCGTTTTTCGATATCTAAACAGCGGCTAACCAGGGTAGCGTCACCGGGCCCCCCCCTCAGAAAAATTTCATTTTTTGCAGGATTGCAGAGTGACACTAGGGTATGCTCAAAAAAATAGTTTCATCTGCCATGGTCAGCAGGGCGTGGCCAAACAGAATTTAGAAGTTAAAAATTTGCTATGTTAGCCTATGGCCAATGCATTGCTTCGTACTTTAAGCACATTTGCGATTTAATGCAAACCCCTTCATGTGGTATCGTACGAGGCTTATGTACGCTGAGTGTTCTCGGCTTCCCGTTTCTGAAACGGGCTAGTAGATGACAGTTTATTATTTTTAATTTTGGAGATGATCTGTAGGTGCCTATTACCCAAATAGCGGCTACGTAATACGGGTGATATGGTGCAAAACCATTATTTATTTTATAACTTTGTCTTCGCATTTGTGTGCATTATCAAAGTTTGATTATTTTATCATAATTTTTACGACAAACTTCGCAACAGCAACATCAAAAGCCCCAAAAACTTGCATAACTGCCACAAATTCAGTGTGGCCGCTTTTTTTAATTTAGTGTGTATTCTAAACTATTCTAGCCGTGGTTTTCGTATTAAGAATAACAACTTATGTGCTCTGTGTATCCTTTTCTTCTGCCTTTTTCCGTGCAAGAAAGATCTCTTCGCCGTTCTGTTGTGAGTAAACAAATGCACAAAACCAGTCTCACTTTCGCGCGCAACTTGTATGCTGCTGTCCGCTATATTTCGCTATGCTGAAATGTCAGTGCGTGGACTGTTTCGACGCAAAGTAAGTTTCCACAGTCATTTAATTTACAAATACAGAACAGGCATTTAAACTTGTATTAAAAATCTGGGAAAAGTAAATGAAATTTAAATTCATGTGAAAAACTACTGTTATCCTAATAGGAGGATTCCAACATGTGTAAATGTTTGTATTTCATGGCTTCCACGGTTTCGCCCACCCACATTTTTGCTCTGTTCTACGTTTACCACATTCTGCATCTAAATAATTAGCTTAGCGTGGCGTGGAAATCATTCATGCGTGCGATTTCTAATCGTGGAATTGGCAGTTCAGGCAAAATTAAAATGATAAAATATCGTCAACAAGTGCAGCAGCCAGACCAGACTGTTTAAATTCGTGTGGCTTTTTTTGTAGAACGAAGACATGTACACATGTGCACGTTACGCTCCAAGACCTGTTAATGCTTTGACCTTGAAACACAATTTTTCCCTGAACAGGAATGCCACTAGTTGTAAATCGGCTTGTTTTCCCGCCTCCTGATGGCTGAATTAATAATTCCGGCACCATCCAGTGACCCAGTCATCGTATCGCGCTGGTTACTACATCAGCAAATCCAAACACCTACTTCCTAAACGCATTCACAGTCAAGCCGATCGATATCGATTACGACGGGTACTTCATCTCGTAATCATGTAATATACTCGTAACAACGCTGAAGTGCTCTGATATTGTCAAGCCGTAAACACGCAAACACAGCGGCATAACAGGCCAGGGAGCAGGTCGGTTCTGCCTTGCGGCGCTATTCAGTCCACTAATTAGACAGGAAGCCATACAGTCTATCCACAGCGTCTGCTTTCACGGAGTTAGCTATGTCGCATAACGAGGTAGATCGGGATCCTACCGTGATTATACGGCTTCTTATGCCGTTTCTAACACGGCGATGTATGTATTTACGTTGTATGGTTCCTCTTCCGCATGATGGGAATCGTGTTGCCTCTTGTGATTAGTTTATTCGCTCGGTTCTAAAGTTAGTGTATTTGTAATCACTTTTGGCTCCCTGCCTGGGCGTTTTTATGCCATTGCGCAGGATCCCAGTACCTGAAGACTGAAATTATGATGCGAGTTGAAAAATTTCCGTGATGATCGTGTGCTGACTCTGGCCAGGTTCAATATCCGATGACTTTCTTCCCGGGAAACGTTTTAGCGTCGTACGAAAGCGCGGCTATTTTGGCAGCACTGTTCACCGTGATAACAGTCGTGTACGCCGCCAAACCCGATGATATGGCACAAGCAGTCAACATGGAAAGCACTTCCGCGACGAGACAACCACCAAGGCATACAATATCATCAGGAAAAGGTGCAACCTCACCTATTCCTGATGATATTGTCTACTTTACCGTCGACAATGGGGAAGCAACGCTGGACGGGACGGTCGATGATACGGATAAAAAGCGGACACGGCACACCGGCCTGCTGGTTGGTATCGGGATCGCCGGTTGCTGTCTGCTGGTCTTCGCCGTTGTGTTGTGTAGCCACTTTACCGGTCAGCATTCACTGAGCAGTGTCGGTATTATTCTGGTGATCAGTGTCGCGGTTGTCCATGTTTTTCGGTGGATGTTGCCGGATGTGGGGGATGGGGATGGCCGGCAAATCTGAGGTCTATGAGAATACTGAAGATTGCCAAATTTTTTATGCGATTCTTTTGCGACATTTTTAATTTTCTCGCCGCTCAATGCCAACAGAAACTGGAATGTGCTACCCACAGGATCTCGAAGCTGTTATTTACATGTGATTCTGAATGACTTTGGGATACGATTAAAAAACGAACAGGCTAAATCAGACAAACATTAGCGCTGACGCTATGTAGTACTGCCATATACCTACAAAATTTGTCCGTAAAAAAACAACGGGTTGATCGTGTACAGGGAAACAGTATATTGACAAAGCCGAAAAAGACAAATTTTAATCGTTCTACAAAGTACAATCATTTCCGCTGCATATTTATTAAGCACGGCACACAATCTCCGTTTCATCGCAGTAGCTCTGTCGCGGTGATTAACTGTGAAAACTTAATACCTTTGGGTGGTAATCGATTGTATTAGCTTATTTAGCCTACATTGGATACGGTGGAAGCAGATTAAGCGCAAGAGCGTCTGAAGTCAAGGATTATACTCGTCTTTATTATTGTCCACGCAATTGACCAATTCACATAAAGGACGGACTAGCATTCTATTGGTCGATTGTCACGTGGTCGCTTGCCTAATATCGTCCAGCAGGTGTAGATTGTACAGACTGGCTGTCGGCTGAGACTGCTGCTGCATTTGTTGGGTATATCACTGCTTTCACTTTTTTTCTGATCTTAAAAAGTGCTGCGAAATTTTTTTAATTGGCTAAGTGGCCTGATAGTTACATATTTTTTGAAATTTCGCCAGGGAATTTTCTCTTCAGTACAGACTATGTAGAGAAACACAGGCCTGATTCTTCAACAGCTGAGTTTCCTCGCGCAGTTTTGCTTGCATGATGGTGGATTTGTTTTTCTGGCTGTAGCAGATTTCGAAACGCAGGATGCCAATTCAGCTGTGAGCCTGTGCTATCGTTATCTGTGAGATAAAAAGCCCTAGGATAAATCTACAAAAATGTACGCGGACGATTTTTATGAACAGTAGGGCTGAGTAGGGAAAGTCAAACCCCAGCATATCTGTAGTCTGTACAGTGGAGTTTTCTGGGTCTTGCACACGCACAGTCGCACACCGAGCCATACACAACGGTTTTTAAGAAAAAAACAAAAAATGAAAGCAAGTTTTGCTTAAGCTTCTACATTTAATTATTAAACTGTAATGTTTTGTGATTCGTGAATATATTTGCGTTCAGCTGTAATCGTACCTTTTTGTTTTACGACTGCTTAGCCAGCCAGCATGATCCGTGCTGCTAGACGCACTTGAATCTTCTTCTCGCGAATGATCTCTTTGACTGACTCCACCACTCATATTAATTTTTTAGTCGAAACTAGCGACGGAGTAAATAAAAGGCAGTAAAAGAAACATTTTTTGAGATAATATTGAGATTCCTACGATTTTCATCTAGTCATTTTGTGTCTAAAGCTAAGCTGCAACTGCATGTTGTACACAGCGATCTACACCTGCTGAAAATGCGAGACGGAAACCACGTGACTAGCTTGCCACGTGGTTTGATATGTGAATTGGTCAATTTACCACAGGCAAAGGGAGGAAGCACGTGATAGTTCCTTAGATGCCTCGCAATATTGATCCAGTTCTTCATAAATCGGCGGCAATTAACAGAGTTTATCTCGCATAGAACAAAATGTTTCCTTCAATCTTTTGGCGATTCGTCAGCCTTTCGATTAAATTTTCAGATAACCCGAAATAAGCTGTATTAGAATTATTTATTAAACGGTCGCAATTACCGTTGCTCATCTCAGATAGCAAAAAAATGTTTAATTTACTCTTGTGGCGATTCTCCAGTCTTTAAATTAAATTTTCAGATTACCGGAAATAAGCTTAACTGGATTTATTTATTCTAGCCCAGAATACAAATCTTCGATTTAAGCGCAGCGCTACTCAAAACGCCGGTGTCATTGCATTTGTTCGGGACCTTCTTGCCTGCAGCATTCGTGGCAGGAGGATTGCATGAAGAAGACGCAAAAACTCCCACAACAACACAAAAAGAGTTGTTGTGTCTGCAGGATAAATTCGTCCTGGCGGCGACATGGACCGATGAGGAAAAGATGCAGGCTGTGCTGCAGTGTCTGGCTCTTTTAAGGTACTATCGCAATGCTTATGTTATTCACGCTTAAAGGCAAATATTTGTTCATCCTGACTTTTGCTTTTCGACCGTTTAATTTGCTCGTATTCTACATATATTTGAATTTTCAAAATAGGAAAATACCAGCGTGTCTCTAAGAAAGTACAACGGCGATTCTTTTTGCTTGATTACTTTTCATTTTTTTCTCGTACAAGTTCAGCGAAGATTTCACTCTGTAAGAGTTTGCGTTTTAGCAGGGGCACATTTGAAACGTACAAAAAGGATTTCCGACTGCTAAAACATCATGTTATTTATATGGAAGAGCGCACCAGTCTCCTCGAAGAAAGTTTTCTCAAGAATATGAAACAGGAATCTTCGCGTTCCACAGACATGGCAGAACATGGACTGAAAAACTCGAACACATGGAATATCGGGCGGATTCTGGACATGTCAGATGCTTCTGTTGCTACTGTGATCGCCATTGTCATGGTACTGTTGCTATTACGTTACGTGTTCTGGCCCAACTACAACAACGGTCATCAGTGAATTTACATCGGTTTCATGATGCTTTTCGGAGTGTGCATCGTCGGAGCTCTGGTTTCGGCTTGGATAGTCCCCGGGATGTGCGTTCAACGAATTGTTAAAGAGGAGTTTTGACGTTTGAGCCGCAATTGCTTTCATCGTTGTTTTGCTTGTAATGTACAGAAAAGGGTAAGGTAAAATGAAGAAAATATTAAGGTAAGAAAGAAATAGCTAAATGATTTTTTTCAGGTGAGCCTTTAACGTTTTGAAACCTGAAAGTCAGGCGACCGGTGCCGCTGAAGTCACGTGATTAATAAATTGAACATCAACGCTCATTCTTTTCAGTCTTATGTAATATGGATCAATGATCACATAGCTTATATATAAGTCTATGCGCGTCTTATTCGCGTCAAATCACTGCGCTAAAACGATAGGCGCGTTCCACAAAACATTGGGTTGATATTATGGGCACTTGTTTACTACTGGCAGCCCTTTTGCACCATGTTGTATCTACAGGCGCCAACTTTTGTTTTCCTTTTGTTTTTCACCACAACATCGATTTCTCGCAAACTCTTTCTTGCGACATAACTTATTTTAATAATATTTTTTATTAATATTTTTAATACATTATGATATTTTAGGCAGATTTTCTGAACAACTGTTTTTGTTAACTCTGACTTTCGAAACCTAGTGTATTACGTTTTCCACCTTACTATCAATCGGTTTTCCTTGACGTCGCGCGGATCCGTTCTCTTTGCCATATTTTTCGAAAGATTACGGATCCGTTCTCCTTGCCTCCTGTTTATTTCGTGGTCTTTTTGTATATTTGTGCTGTTGAATACTGTTCGGACTGATTACTAGAGAGTCGCACACGCAAAAGAGTGAGCGTTATCTATCTTTGAACGCAGTACTTGGTGGAGAGTTACAGGTGATACTTGGCAACAGACATTAGTCACATTACATTACCTTAATACAGTGCAAATGAATCTCAAAGCTTGTACATAATATCGGAATATCCTAAAAATTTTTCGAAAGAGAAAAAATGGAGGTATACCACAGTAACGAGATAGTTTTTTCTCTTTCTAAAACGGGTGAATCCAGCTTTTCATACTCCGGGGTGCGTTCACTGAATTATCGAAAAGTTGTGCCTTTAAAAAACGAGGTGGCGCCAATAGTGAACAGAGGTGCAAGTAAGTCCCTAGAGCCATCTGCAAAAGTTTATGCGCGGCAATGGCTATGGAGGCCCTGCTCGCTTCACTCATCGCTCTTGTAAAGACTGGAAATTAAAACATGTACGTCGTAATTTTTTTTTTTAAATATAATACCTTTTTATAATTATGACAGTATTAACCAGACACTACTGCTACAAAATTAGGTACTACCAAAACATCCAATACCATCATTAGCGTTATTGAACTGTTTAACACGCGGCAAAGTGCCCAAAACTGCCGCCGCATTACCACGAACAACGGCAATGCTGAAGCGCTGTTTCAAAAACGAACTCGAACGCGCTTCACCCGTTTTTTCAAAAATTCTACAACCTAAAAACTTAAAAAGTTCCTTCGTCGACTCGCTCTGCACTCCAAAGGTTTCGCATACAACAGGATAAAAGGAATACGGCGGCTGTAAGAAGCGGTAGTGGTTCCGTTTATGAGATTCAGCTACTCGTGCCGCTGAACCCGCCTGCCTTGCAGAACGGTCCACATAAGAAGACGCAACCGTACAGGAGCACGTAGCATCCCACACCACATACTGGCCGTCCCGCACAGGAACTAGAGTAACACCATCCGGACGTTTGCCGTTCAGTCCGCACATCCCCGGAGGTTCCAATTGGCACGGAACACCCGCTGCCGAGAACGATTTTTCCACAATCCTGTTCATTTCACAATGCCGACTCCATCTTCCTTTACTGTACAAGCAAGAAAGACCATGATGTCCATTTGGCTGCACTCTGGTTCCGCAGCTCACACACTGATGCTCCCGAACAATGTCCATGCCAAATCGGAGGCCAACAGCTATTCGCAGCTGCTCATCATTGAGAAAATTACCGAGTGATGGGACGGGTAAGGCGTTTAACCATGCGCCAGATTCCGGCTCAGATGCAGCCAGGAAAACTGCTCGCTTCACATTATCACTGTATGCATGTAAACGCGCAAAAGAATACATCAGTTCGATACCAGGTTCATCCCATGCCGACTGATGCTTACGAGCCAATTCGTCCGGTGGCGTGCACGCGTAGCGATCAACCCACTTCTGAACTACAGCATCAATAAAATCACCATCATAGGCTGGAAAAATCCCGGAAGCCAAGGTTTGCACAGAATATGCCGACGCTATGAAAGCGGGAAGAGCTAGCATATCTGCGCTTCGAATTCCGAGACCCGCCCGTCCAACTGGCAAATTCATCTGTAGCCATAAAATATCAGATATGTCTGCGTTGGTAATCCTTTGCACTGCGCCACGTAGGATTTCATCAAAACTTCGTAACATGTCCGGACATTCGTAACATGGACTTGTACGTAGCAGGTAAATTAACTTCGGAATCGCGAAACAATTTCTCAACAAATAAAGTGCGTGATGTGATGGCAAAAACTGTAAACGTTCCACCATAACTTTCAAATCTTGGATTTTGGTCTTCAAATAAACGGGCACCGAAACTTCGTTCAAAGCTGCTCCTAAAACTGAGAAATTGTCCTGTTCCAGAATGATGAGTTGCGGCCACTTGCGAAGCAGATTTTCTTTTGCTTGCGATCTTTCGTTCTCGTCACCACCAAAAATAAAGACTTCGCATTTCGAAAAATTCAAAACCAGTCCCAGCTCAGCACCTTCTTGAATAACCGTTTCGATATCTTCTATGATTTGTTCTTCAGTGCCTCCTAACGTGACATCATCCAGGTAAGCAGCTTTCAAAATGCTTTTCAGCTTCCTCAGGAGCTCCAAAACTGCGAGACAAAAAGCCAGTGGACCAACTGGATCTCCTTGCTGCACTCCCCACTGTGACATCAATAATTCATCTCCGCATAGTAAATGTGACCATTCTCCATATGACTTCATAAAGTAGTTAAAATATGCAGGGATGTACTTGCTTACTGCGCGTAATACTACATCTCTGCCGATCATATTAAAGGCATTGCGGAAATCAAGTTTGACCAGTATCCGCACTCCGCCGTGATTAAACTGCAAAAAGCGGCTGGTCGCGTGTACGATTGCTTCTGCTCCTCCTTTCGTTCCAAAACCGAGCTGAATAGGTTTCAGTAAACGGCCAATTTCATCCTGACATCTCGCCGCCACAATTTTTGATGCCATCCGACGCAGTGTGTCCCCAACTGCGATAGGACGAATACCACCGTCAGGCTTACTGAGTGCGATCAGTTTCGCTCCGTAAAAATAAGGACAAACGTCATCGGGGACACCGCCGCTTAGAATCAAGTCCATGAACTGCATCAGTGTACTGCAGAGATCACTCTCCACATCATCCCGTCTGCCTAGCATATCCTTCACATGTTGGGGACGCAGATCAGAGTATCCTCCTGCTGAACCTGCCGGGAAACTGTAAACGCTGTTCATTACTTCTTTGGGCGAAACGGGAAATGGGGTTTCTGCATGGGGCGGTAAAGGTAGCTGAGCTGCTGCTGGTCGAGGAGGGTGCTTTTCTTGTAGGGCAGTAATGGTGGCTTGGTTTAGTGGCGCTACAGAGTCTTGGGAGATGACAGCCCGAATAGCCCCTTTTGTATTTTCACACTGAAAAGCACTAGCTACTTGTCTCCACATTCTTTCCGCGTCGAACTGTGATGTGCTTCTACTGCCTCGTCTTTGCTGTTGAGCCATGAGGGGGGTGGTAGCAGATAAGCTGCTAACGTTGCGCTTAATCACTGTCGTAAGGGATTCTTTTCGCAGCTGGCGTGTAGCAGGTAGGACGAATGCTTTCTTAGGGAACAGGAGGAGCTCTCTCCATGACTCAAACACATTCTGCGAACAGCACTTTCTTAAGGCGTGGCCAAAGGCTTGTGCGCAGACAAACCGAGCATTCTTCGGAAGACGTGAAGGCATAGGCGGGTGCGTCTGCAATTGGGAAAGGAAGACTGGCGCAGCGGAGGAACCCGTTGGCATTGGCGGACCTTGTTGGGCTCCCCGTGCAGCCCTGGATGTTTTAAACCGCAAATCCAACGTGCCATCTTTCTTGTAATGCAGATTCGATGTAGTAGCAGCAGCCATAAAAGAAAGGATAGGAGGCAGCACAATGATTGAGGGGTAAAGTACAAAGGAACTTACTAGTGCATGGCTGGTGGTCGCTGGATGTCCGCGGGACAGCTGCCACCACACAGCTTCTGGAGACTTGCTACCAGACTATGGTCCCGCGGCCACCCTCCATACTGAATGGCGGGAAATTTGCCATTCAGGGGCACAGAAATAAAGCCCAAAAGAATACACAGGAATGTAGTCCACAGAAAATCAGATACACAAAAATTTTATAGAAATTTATTAACGTATAATTAAAAAGAAAAAAAAAATGTCGTAATTGTGTAAAGACGTCCCAGTCAGCCGGTCCATATCGATTGCTACCGGTACTGTACTGACACCCTGCACTTGGAGAAATTTTGTACAAAATGAGCAGCACGGTACTGTAGACAGGTGGATTTAAAGGTCAATTAAAGCCGACTGCGTTCAGCCAATAGCCAGCAGTCTGCATGCAGTTGCAAGCCGTGTATGTGAGCAGTGAACGCAGTCGTACAACGTACGCGTGGCTGCACAGCTAAAACTTTCTCCGAGTTCAGGGTGTCAGTACAGTACTTTATCTCCTAATCGTATGACATAACATGTCTGAAGACTGAGGTTATTAAAACCTTAAACCCCAAACCCAGCGGCATAGCTGGCGAGAGAGTCACCGGTCTTTGTTCTGCCTAGCGGCATTATCCTCTCAACTAATTAGGCAGGAAACGTGTGCCGCTATCCACAGAATCGGCTTCCGGTATTAAAGGATAACACACAACGAGTTGGAATTTTGTGCCCCGTGCAACAGCTGGTAGAGGCACTGTTATATTTGATTTTAGCCGTGCGATAGTTTGCAGGGTCCAACGATACGAATTTCCTTGTGATGAGAATATTCGCTTTCTATCTTATATATGCACATGTTAAGTGTTCTCTGTTTATGCTGGTGCGCAGGTCAATGTTTTTGTTCGACCAGACTTGAAGTCCCTTTGGGGTTGTCTGCTCTTGTGCCGTAATAATAGTATCAACTTTGAGCTGAACCGTATTGTTATACGCTTTCTCCAGCAGATTTTGATAGACAGGGTGCAAAGCCATTAGAATAGACCGCTCATTTCTGCTGTTTGTTAGTTCACTATTTCTATAGAGTTATTAGTTTTCAGCGCAGTTGTCAAAATTCCACATATTATCTGATTAACCCATAAAACATAATTTGTTTCCTGACAGAAAGGCTGTTTATAGCAAATCGGCTCGCTCGCCGCCCCATCACGACTGATTTGATAACTGAAACACCACCCGTGTAGCGTATTGCTGTGGTTGCCACGACAGGAAATTAAAACAACATGATTGTACTTTAAAATTGTGTGAGCGCATTCAGAGTCAAGCCGGTCGATATCGATTACGACCGGTACTCCATCTCGTAATCACATAATACAACAACTCCGAAGTAGTTTCTGGGAAACCTTAACACGCCAACGCAGCGGCAAAACAAGCGAGGGAGACACCAGGTCTACTCTGCCTTGCGGCGCTATTGAATCCCCTAATTAGACAGGAAACCTCGCTGATAATACACGGCGCCTGTTTTCATGGACTATACTTGCAAGCTATGTCACACAACGAGATGAACCGGCAGTTCTACCGGGAAACGGTTGTTGTTCTGCCACAGCGCTGTATGGCTGTTTACGCAGTACATGTTTATTCGACCGAATGAGGCGCATCGCTCTGTCTGCTGTGATTAAGTCTGTTACTCTATTGGTTTCTTTATACAGTTACCTGTTACTGCACGCAATTTTAACCATTTTATAGCTCCTTCTCTCAGTGTTGCCATTGAGCAGGCTGATTACTTGCAGTTCCGAAGCGTGCTGTGTCAAATTATGATT